GATCCAGTTACCAAAAAAAAAAAAAAAAGTTAACTGCTTTGTATATGAATACCTCTGTATCTAGTTTGGAATACAGTTAGGAAATTTTTAATTTTCACATAACTTCCTTGTTTCTCTGTGTGCAAGACACTTGGAGAAGTTATAAATATTTTATTTTTTAAATTATTTATGTGTCTCAGTATTTCACTGACATTTCTTTGTGTGTTTTTGTAGCTCTTTTTGTGAGAAACTACAAATATTGGTATTTTACTGAGATTCTCTGGGTATTTGTCTGCTTTAAGTCTGAAAATACAACTTCGGAATGCTAGTGTTGTTGAGACCATTTCCAGCATTTGGAAACCTACTAAAGTCTTTACTGCTTTCTGTGGTCCCTTGTTAGGTTATTAAATACTCTTTTAAAAGTATCAGTCAGATGGAAAGAGAGAGGCCTCATTTGATAAAACAGGAGGCCTCTTCTGCTTGTAGAGATGGTTGTTAAGATGACTCTGAAGTGATTATTTTAAAATGTTGTTTAATATCCTTATATGGAAACACTCTGTACATTTTTTCATAGTGTTTTCTTTGTGCTAGTTCCTATTAAGAAGCTCCCAGCCTGCCTGCCTGTTCCTAACAGTTTACTTCTTGCATCCTGACAGGAACAAAGGAAATGACCCATTTTCCTTCCCCTCTTTTTCTCTGTCACCGGAATACTTTTCTCAGCAGAAGGCGGTAGGAGGGCACGTTCCCGGCCTCTGTATTTATAGAGGAGGCAACTGTAACTGAATTTAGTGGTAATCTCCTCCCTTAGATTGCCCAACAGCACATTGGTTAGGATAGGAATTTGTTGGGATCCAAAATGAAACTTTGTTGTATTATCCAGTATTCAAAACCTGATTTGAACATTCCTATGCTGTAGTATAGTGTCCCTTTTTTTCTGCTGGACCTGCTAAATGGGGCCTACAACTAAAGTTTCACAACTTTTTGCAAATTGATGCAATTGTATCTTATCTGGTTTTTTTTCTCTCTGAAATATTTTGCATGTGCTGCTTTGCTCTTCTCATAATGATTGAAGTAGTCCATTGAAAATCCAAAGAAAACAGAACAGCTGTGGCTTGCTCTATTTTGCCTTTGTTGTTATTTTTTTAAAATTTTATTACGGAAAATTGATGAAAAATGAAACACGACAATTTCCAGATGTGGGAGTATCCAGG